GGGGGGGGGGGGGGGGGGGGGGAGATGCCGGACCCTGGCTTCAGTTTTTCCCTGCTTCAGGCTGCCCCCTCCTATGTCTACAGGACCCCCCTGGCCAAGAGGTGGCAAATGTTCCCTGCAAATCAGCCAGGGCTCGAGGGCTTCCCAGATCCGCCTCCCTTCTTGTCACACCTGCCAGATGTGGACCTCTGTGCACAACATCTGGGAGTTCTAACGATTCTCCTTTCTGCTTTTGGATCGTGGGGGCTGGCAAGTTTGGCCTTGAGAAAAGGCCGCGGGGGACACGAGGGCAAGATGTCTTCAGGAGGGGATCAAGCCCCATTCTTTTTCCTTCCAGGACCCGGAATAACCGCAAGCTCTAGGAAGGGAGAATCCAGTGGGAGCTTAGGGAAGAAACCCTTCCCAGTGGTCAGCGGTTGGACCGGGGCACCAGTGACCCCTGGGGTGAAGGGCTCTAATTCAGCTTCCTGCCCAGAACAACGGGTTGGAGCCAACGCCCACAAGGACCCCTTCCAACTTGGTGGTCCTTTCGTTCTACGAAATGCGACATTTTGAAGACTGACAAAGTTTTTTTTAATTGAGTACTTATTAAAAAAGTGTCTTTCCCACAACAGTTTAGGCCAATGTTTCTCAACCTGGGCCACTGGAAGAGCTATGCTGGCTGGGGAATTCTGGGAGTGGAAGTCCACACCTCTTCCAGTGGCCCAGGTTGAGAAACACTGGTTTAAACTGTTCTCCATCTTTCCTTTCTCACACGTAGTTCTCCAACATGCGTTGCTTTTTTTAAATTATGAAATGGATAAGTTAATCCCTTCACTGATATGATTAAAGGCTTATCCTGCTTTTTGTTCTTCCATTCGGTTGCAACAGGGGCCGCTGGGAGGTCAAAACAGTCAAGACGGCTGTTGTGGCTGTGCAATCCAGCCCCACCCCTTCGTTACATGCATTGCAACACACGTACGTTGCATGGCTGCAACGGCCGCCCTTGCTTTTTGACCCCCTCCACCCCACGGACACCTGTGGGTTGCAATTCTATTGGTTTACCTGCCTTAAGGAGGGCTTGGCCTGTGTGAGAAAGGATGTATCGTCTAGTAAGAGAGAGGCAGGCCACTCACACGTGTATGTCCAGCATGATGCGCTTGTCCTCTTCCACGTGGAGCCCCCAGATGCAGTCTTGCCCTTTTCCATAAGGCTCTGGCCAGTTGGGAGACAAAACCACGCCAGCTGCATCCGTGATCTCCCCGCTGCACACCGCTGTTGGGGACATATGTGAGAAAAAGATCAGTGGGGCATTGGTCCCAATAAAGCAGAAATATCAGCCTTGCCAGGTGGACCAGGCAGGAAACGCAACCAGATGAGCTCATTCTACTTTATGGTAAGGCTACATTAACAGAATCTTGCAAATCTGAAAGTACAATTCTCCTGCTGTCCCCTTTACAGCCTGAGAACTGAGGGAAGGTCTCTCCTGAGCTTCTTGCCCTGCCCACTATGCAGCTGCGGGTTCAACTCCCTCTTATCTGAGCCTTCCTTAGGCAGCATCTCTTCCCCTTGTCTCCCAAGGCCTTTCCCACATACCATTACATCCGTTGCCTTCACAGCCTGAGAAACTAGCGAGGGTCCCTCCTGAGCCTCTTTCTCCGCCCATTATGCAGCTGTGGGCTACGCTCCCTCTTATCTGACTGTTCCCTAGGCAGCATCTCTTTGCCCCATCTCCCAAGGTCTTTCCTACATACCATTGTAGAAATGAGCAGAAAGACTCGGGTGGGGGCCTCCCCTCTCCAGGAATTAGGTATTGTTTGCTTATGGAACGGCTGGGGAAAATCTGGCTGGGAGGGCAGCCGCCCCAGAGGACAAGCAGGACCGATGCAGGCGAGCCACATCGTCCCATGTTGCAGGAAGGGGCTGAGAGCAGTGATGGTTTGCAACCCCCCAGCCCCATTCTTCCCCAGCACTCACCTCGGCAGGCTGGCTCTGTCTCGTTCCACTGGGGGTTGGCAGGGTCCACGCACTCGATGATGACAGAGCCCTGCTCCAGGGTGTAGCCGGGCTCACAGGCAAACTCCACGGTGGTGCCCACTTTGTAGCTCCCGTTGCTGGTGGTGAAGTTCCCATACTTGACAAACGGCTCGTAGCAGTGGCCGGGCTTGAAGGCTGCAAAGGGCAGAGCGGGCGCAAAGGAAGGCTCGGCCCCTCTCTTTCGGCAGGGCTGGCCCTCGGGTGACTGCTGGACTGCAACTCCCATCAGCCACAGCCAGCACAGCAAATGCTGGAAATGGTAGGTCAGGGTCCTCCAAAGGGACTGGGAGCTCAGGGAATGCGGTGGGTGGGGCCTCTGCCCCCATCCTTGGCCACTTACCCTCATAGCGCAGCGCCACGCCGGCAGCCACCCCGCCGCTATCGGTGGAAAGCTCAACAAAGAAGCCACGGGTGGTGCTGACCAGCCCCTCGATGGGCAGATATTCGACTTCGTACGAGTCGTACACGGGGGGCGCCTCGATGTTGTTCCCATTCCGGATTATTAGCCTGCAAGGAAGAGGGACGGGTTTTCTCCCTGAGACTCACGAGGATTTCAGGATGCGGGGGGGCCAAAATGTCAAGATGAGGGCCACAGCTTATGTGCATTGCGATGCAGGTTAAAAAAAAAATGGCAGAGTTGATTATTTGGTGGTGGGTGCCGTCTTGATTTTCTCATGCACCCCCATTCCCCCCCCAACTTGGGGTGCTGGGAGGACCAGTTTGAGCAGGATGAAGGCTGCCTCCGGGGGGAAGATACAGCCCCCTGCAGAAGAGGAACCATGGGGGCTCTTGACCAGGGACCTCCCATCCTTCAGTCTTGCACAGCCATTGCCCTAGGGGAGTGTTTCTCAACCTTGGCGGCTTTCAGGGGCATGGACGTCAACTCCCAGAAG